ACGTGCGTGCGTGCGTGCGTGCGTGCGAGTGAAATTGTAGTTTGTAAACGAGTGTAATGCCTAACAGATCCCTGTAGATGGCGGTGGTGCATTGCTTCGAGATCAGCACAGCTTTTAAGTAGAAGATAAAGGTTAGGCAGTTTGACTCTCAGCTCGTGGTGTCCGTTGGTTAATTACAGGGAACCCCTGCTATTTACACGCACACAAACACACACAAAAAATCTGTTAATAGGTGAATTTTAGATGTTTATAATGCAGAAAGTCAAGTATGCAGGGCCACTGTACGACAAATAATGTTGATTTGTTCACTTCCCTATACCGGCAAAATATAGTGACGTGCACAAAAGTGGTGAACGTAACAAAGGGAGCAATGCCTTGTGTGCAGCCCTTTTAGAGTGGAAAATTCCAGATATCGCCTCCTACTGGCTATGCCCTGTTGTGATGTGACCCAGTGCCAGTTTTCCTGTCACTTCCATGTGTGGTTGCCCTCCAACAAGGCTGGAGTGTCATCAGTCACTCACAGGATAACAAAGTCCTTAGCAAAGGCCCATCGCAAGCTTTGAACCAAATCGAATTTGCGTAAAGTCTTCGAGCCAGCGCCAATGTGTGTGTCGCTTTGATAAAATGCAGCGAGACAGCTTGGAAACAAGAAGGAAGGAAAAAAAAAAAAAGAGAGCGTGGTGAAGTGATGTATGAGAAATCAATATTGATTTTGTCTCCCGTAGCTCGAAGCTGCCATCCACAATCCTGTTCACTGTGCATTGTTGGGCTTCTCGGCAGCCAGCACATCCTTACCTCAAGGCTTCCTCTGGGTGAGTAACGCACGCACGCACACACGCACGCCCTGGCACACCCCACAGCAGTAACTTGAATCAATGAGAGGATAAAGGAATCCACTTTCCTGCTGTTTTTCATCATCGTTTCAGCTTTAACCCCACAACCATTAATTTAGAAACGATTCTGTGTTCTCTTCACATTAGAAGGTCAAGAACAAGAACAATTTAGAGAACCGAAGCAACGTGATTGCTTCAAGCTTTTTTGGGGGGGGTGGGGCACTCCCACTCAAAGTTTACTGTCCAACTAAACCTACAAAATGAGAATTGCGCGTTAAGTCAACCATATAACTTACACAAAAAAGTCCATGAAAGTCCGCACAATGCCTAAAATTGAATTCTTGAAATTGTATTTTATAGAGTTGCGCCGATCATAATTTTTTGGCCGATCATTGATCTTTAAAAAGCCTGACCTGCCGATTACAATTTTTGTTGTTGACATTTTTAAACCTCTGTGGAGGGAGATGAGATTGGTGTGCAAGATGCATTTTTATTGTTGTGATCGGCCGATCTTCCGTAATTCCCGGCCGATCGATTGGTGCGCCCCAAGTATTTGTATGTTATTCCGGTAAAATGCAGTTTTTCTTATTAAAAACACGTTCGCGTTTTCTGGAGGGGCTGGAATGGATTCATGGCATATCCATTCATTTAACAGGGGAAAGACGATTTGAGATTTGTGTGTTTTGAGTTACGAGCCTGCTCACGTAACCCATTAGGCTCGCAAGTCAAGGCGCAACGATGTATCCCAAGGCCAAGTGATGGCAGATGTTGCTAGGAAACTGTGAGTTAGGATAACCCGACGGTAAGTTGCTGAATCTGTGTTGACGTGCTCGGCATCCCACGTGGCAAAGCAGGCGGACTTGTGGGAGTTCGGCTGCGGCTGCCTGGAAAGCAAAAGGAAGACTCAGGGAGAAAAAAATATATATATGATGTATTTATTTTTGGAATGTTTGTAGTGGGTAGGTGGGAAGCTGGTCAGGTAATCCTCTTTTGGCCCAGAAAGTGGCTAAAGCTGGCGTAGGCTGGCAAAGAGAGACAGCGTGGATCAGCGTCAGAGCGAGCTGATGGCTTTGTGGAGCGGAGCACATTGACAGTCATTCCAAATCATTTGGCCGCTTTTACCAATCACTGAATAAAAACACCTGCTCACCTGCAAGTTCGTCGCCCTGCCATCATCGACGGTCTCCATTGATGGTCTTCTATTGACAGCAGTTGTCCTAAAGTAATTCGAAATTTAAATTTAGAAAAAAAACTACAAAAAATTTTCACAAATGATTGATTAATGTCAAGTGTTGAAGATTCATTGTTCTGTTTGACGATGCAATAATAATGGTTGAACAAACCATTTTTTGGGGGTCTCCTGCAAAGTGATGGAAATGTTGTAATTTTCCGGAGGTGGCATTCCACCATAGCTTCAACACAGCTCTTGAAGCTTAAGGTGACAGCGCCCGTGAGCGCAGAGCAAATGATTGACACTTCTTCAGTCACACCTTCTCTCTCTGATTGGTTGTTTTTCCTGGAGGGTGGTGCTTTCTTTAAAATCAAATTACAGGCGACCAAATGGGGCCCGAGACAGCTGATTTTTTTTTTTTTTTTTTTTCCCCCGCAGATCATTTTCCTCATGCACCACTGTCAGGTCATGCTTTTCATGAATGTGATAAAAAGTGTCGGTTAATTCGACTCGGCTCAGGAGATAACGTCACCTCAGATGTTCACCCAAAGAAGAGCGGGGCAAATCAGGATGAGGAAAGTGGAAGGGAATTTAGCACAATCGCGATCCCAGAGTCCATCCAGACTTCATCAATGTCATCCCCAGTGCGACAAACCCGCAGGCCAATGCAGGCAAGAACGAACCATCGGCTGCACATTAACTTTGGCTGATGTGCAACTCCGGATTCCTCTCGGTGCTTGTGTTTTATTTTGTTCCAACCACTGCACTTGACTTTTTCATTATATTCATAAAAAAATCTGGTCATCTGGGGTGTTGTCCAGCCAAAGAACTATTAACCTCTCGCAGCACTTGCCAGGGAGAAAGACGGGCGTGCGCAAAGGGTTGTCACTCTTTCCAAGCCGCGTTATTTCCCTAAACACACGTTATTTTCATGACCGATCCCTAACCAGGCCGCTGTGGGGATGTGCCGACTCACGCGTCGCCTTGACACTCAATCACTCCAAAGCTTCTCTCTTTCCTACCCCGTGCCGGCTTGCAAAAATCAAAGAGCAATATGAATGAAGCCATGAACGTTCAGTTAGGAGCCTCTTCCATCTCAGCCCTGCTGGGAGTTCATGCGGCGTCTCATCGCTTGGCTTGTCCACACTGTCGCTGATGATTCAAAGGTCAGCAGTGATGTTCAGTCACCTGTTCGTTCCTATTTTTTGGGGGGTGGGGGGGGCGACACACCTATCCTAATCCATTTGCTGAAAGGCTCACCTTTCTGTGGTCCTACGAAGCTAAGTCGAGCCTCGGTTGTTAGGGGAAAGTTACACAGAGTCTTGGCAGCATGTGTCTGTTTTTGTGCTACACGTGGCTATTAAAACGCTCAAGTTAAAAAAAAACAAACAAAAAAAAAAAACAACAGAGGTCTTGTTTTTGCTCAAGAAATGGTAGTTTTGTGGTTTTCGAAAGTGACCGTGGGAAAGGTTGGTCATTGCCAGCAAACACCACAAAAACAGGAACTTTCCGTGTTTACGATTGACTTGTAATGCAATAAACATCCGTACTATTGACAGTATTTTGTCGCAAAAATAGCAAAATAATTTTAGAACTCTTTTCCATCATGTTGCAGAAATTTGCCAATAGGTGTGTTTTACCACAAATAACAAAGATAAATCCCCCCCCCCCCCACCACCACCTCACCCAAAAAACTATAGGTCTGAAGTTAGGATTGACATATTCACCTACTGACGTTTTTTTGGGATGCAAGATGACCTCAGCTACTGAAAAACTCGACATAGGTTGAAGCAAAGCAACTTGGGCCTTCTTGTCTGTTAAATCGGTTGTGTTTTGATTTGTTTTCCGTAAATATGACTCGGTTCATTATGCTGTTAGGCTAACGAGTTGCTGCACTGCGCCATGCAACATTCCGGGTGATCCCGGTCACGACAACATCCTTTTTTTTTTTTTTCTTCTTCTAATATGTCAAGTCAATAGACTTGCTGAAGAAGCTGTTCATGCACACGTAACTTTTCATAATGCAACACTCATTTCACTTTGCGACCAGCCAAGCACGCAGCGTGTATGTCGGCAGCCTCTGGCCTTGAACGCCGCCACTCTTTAGCATACATCTACTGTAATCTTACAGTGCACTGAGGGGCCGAGGCGTCGGAACACATCAGCGAGGCAGTTGTCCTTGCTTTTTTTGATGCTTTCTGAACAGATAAAAGTGCCTTCCGTTGGGAAGGGGGCCTATTTTGCATTTAAATGATGCCCCATTTGTAAGGAAAAATACATTTGTAGGTTCACTTGCATGTGTTGCGCATGTGGAAAACGTGCCCCAAAATTTGGTGCCGATGCCAAACAGCTTATTCTGCTGTTGTTTAGTACCCTCTTTTGCTCTGGCCAACGTCATCAGTTTTTTGCTCAATCATATGCTCAATCAAATCGTGCGGCGGCATTGTACACGGGTGTTAATATGACCCACAAAAAAAACAGTGTGTCGGTGCCTATAGACAGTTCCTAGGCTCCACAGCAACAATAGTTCTGCCAACGCGATAAGAAGGCCAACTTTCTCCATTATTCACTGAAAACTCACCCATTCGCTGTTGTTGTTCTCAGGGCAAAGCCATGCCGAATATTAAAACAAATCTATATTGCTGCGGTGCCATCTGGTGCCATCTTTGGACTAAGCAATTTTGTTCAGCTGAGGAGAGCACCTTCATTTTTACTGTTTGGGTCGGCATCCCAGTCTTGTGCGAATCGTGGAGATTTATTGTATCCTGATTATTTACTTTTGTATTTCCATTTGTGTGCGTGTGTAGAAGAGCGCTGGCGAAGCCGAAACGCATCAAACAACAACTGGTGACCCTCGTCTCTGGCTCGCTCGTGCGGCTCCACGGTCTCGCGCCCTCCAAAGCAATCTAATTAAAGCTGGCGAAGCTTTTGGGAAGCCGCCGCCTCCCCCCGAGCGGCAAGCGGGACTCGGTCCAGATCGTGACTCCACATCGCTAGGTTCCCTAAATGAGTGGCGAGCGCTTTGCCAGGAACGTGGCGCTGGCTGTCACGAGGGGGGGAAACGTGAGCGTGTAGGTGGAGAGGCGCCACTTGAAACCATCTTTTTCTTGAGCCCCTCGCGGCGAGATAAGTCCTCGCTATCTTCTTCGCAGCCTGTTCAACAGACCATTATTTGTTCTGGCTCATCCTCCAGAGCCCACAGGATCTCTCCTGTCCAGATCCTGCCGGCTGATACAACTCAAACAAATGATTGCATGCAAATAAGGGTGAGCGTGGAAGAGCGAGGCTAAAGACTATATTTAGCTCCTGTCAGCATCGCATGGCGTGATTTAGGCGAGGAACAAATCCGCCGAGAAGTGCCCTTGCATTTTTGCGCCAGCCTCCGCCGAGGCGTCGCACAGAAGAGACAAATGAAGCGATATGGACCTTTTCGCCATGGCGTCGTCACGTGGACTTCCAGGACGCCAAGAGATGTAGCGATTTCCAATGGCGTCACACAAACTCCTTTCATGTCATTTGACCAAGGTGGAGCATTTGACCAAACTGAGACCCTGGAAAGTGAATTCGGAGATTTGTTTCTATATCCAGTACACATGTTTGAAGGTAATTGCTCTGCTCAAAATATGTACAAAGGCTGAGAACTCTGCAGTGCTCAGTCGTGGAGTATTAGCATTAAAAATATTTTCACCGTTTCAGGCTAAAATCAGGGTCCAGTGATGTTTTTTTTTTAAATTTATTATCAACACAAGAATAAACGGTGTAAATGCCTCAGACATAGCATAAATACTAGTTTTCAGCCGTAGTCCCAAGGTAGGTTTCTTAACATGAACATATGATGAATTTCGGCCTCGGAATGAGTCGTCCCACCCCCAATATATAAATCCCTTGTTGACGTCAGCAGTGGCCCAACGCATTGTATTCCCACTCAGCTAGCTGGCGAACTACTGCATATAGTCCCCGGCGAGGTCACTTAAGAGCGTGTTGTTGTCGGCGGTGAATGGTGGAAGAGCGACAAGAGGAAAAAAAAAAAAATCGCTTTTGATAGCCGCTGAATGGACCAGGACTTTGAGCTGCCATAGCTGCTTTCGAGTGCTGAGTTGTTGCTATGTGGGTTATATAAGATGCCAGGATTGAGGCAAATGTATATTTGCGCCGCAAACGTAGTTTGGCGTAGGCATAAGAAAGATAAGACAAAGTAGCATTCATTTTTCCAGGTGGTCATGGGGCTACTTGATTGACACGCCCACAGTCTTCAAAAAATGAGAACTCTTGATGAGAAAATGCCACTTTTTGGATCGGCTATATGAATCTGAACGCAAAACAGATGCCTTGATCTGCTTGTTGTTATGTCACTTGTTGTTACTGTGACCTAATTAATGTTGGCACTTGGGAATTTAATCTCCTAAACTCACTCAGGAGCATCCCCTGGAAAGTTCGGGGGGGGGGGGGAAAGCCACCACACTCAGTTTACTGGTGGATGTCGTAGCAGGATGCATAAAAACAGCCCAAACTGAATTGGTCGTCAGCCATGTTGGTTTGAAACAGCCGTTTTGGCTGATTCACCGCAAGAATGGGTGTGCAGAGGCTCCTCCATCACAGTTTACAGTTTCAGGTAATATGACTTTGCTGCGCAACCTTGATCATATCTCATACCAACACACCAATGTGACCATCAAACTTTCAAGTCTCAGCAGAAAAAAAATACACAAACAGTTCATGAACTCCAGTAATCAATTCCTTCTTGACCCTCGCAAAGCAACACCGATCCTTTTCGAGAGCTCACTTGAACTTTTTTGACCGACGTCGATGAAAAAGACGGCAGACTTGGAGCGGATGACTTTGGATGTATTATATGCTCATGTATTGAACAAATGCAACGTGAGCAGCCAGCAGCTACAAACGACAGACTTGGAAAAGATCATTGATTTCATATTTCGCTAACTTTAAACTGCCGACAGGTGAAGGATGTCCACTCAAACATGCACGGTATCCATCAAAGCGGTCATTATAATACATTTTTAACGCTGACTCACCTGCCCTGACATGCATGTGCCCGTGCGTGACCGAGCGTGTCTTTCTTCAGTGACTCTGTCGATTATTTCTCCTGGCTCGTTTTATTTCTTTAGTGCAGGGTGGCAGTTATCATTAATTATAGCGTGCATGCATATCATTTTTAACTGCGGAGTACTATATTCGTGGTGTTCTGTGTGTTTCTGCTATTCAGCTGCTTTGCTCAAAAACAAATAAAACACCTTCAAATTTTGTGTGTGTGTGTGTGTGTGTGTGTGTGTGTGTGTGTGTGTGTGTGTGTGTGTGTGTGTGTGTGTGTGTGTGTGTGTGTGTTGCAGTCTGCACCAAACCGCTCCTTTTCCTTTGTTACTGGAGCATCTCAAAATGAGATCATTTCCAAGCAGCCTCCGTTCTCTCTGCAGGTGGCTGCTGGCGGGGAGGAAGCCTCTCAGGGCCAGATTGAGATCTTCTCGCTCAACAGGCCCGTGCCAAGGGCCGTGAAGAGCTTGCAAGTGGGCTCCGCCGTCCGCTGTCTTGAATACGTGCCGGAAGCTTCTCCCACTGAGGAGGCGGAGGCCGCACCTCACAAGGGAAACGCTGCCAGCATCTGCGTCGGATTAGATGACGGACGGTGAGACGATGAAAGATACTTCAAACGTTTTACAGCGAACCCCTCGTTTACCGCAAGGGAAAGTAAGGGACCCAGTTGTGAAGAATCTGCCCCGTCGAGAGATCGTATATTTCAAACACTCCCATGTGGTTGAAAGACATTTGAAATGATGGCTTGATGGATAAACATCTTTTTAACACATTCGGGGTGGATATTTGCCCGTACAAGGCATCTTAAATTGTTTATCGTGGAAATCCCTCTTTTCCGTCGACACCTGCCATTTAGAGTGGCCATTTTTCATGGGGTTTTAAGGAATACTGACTTACTCTATTGCCACCCGCCGGCGGCAAAGGAGAGCCACAGTCGCTGATGCACTTTTCACCAATAGATTGAATGCCAGGAGAACAATGAAACGCACACTTGCACACAAGCTGCACGTCACAAGCCACCTCACCAGGCCCCGCCTCTTGAAGTCACGTCCCTTATCTATATGCATTTATTTATATCGGGCATTTCCTACAAAAGTGTGCTTCATATCATGAAAAGGACATTTAAAAGCAAACGAAAGAAAGGCGTAAAGCCCCTTCCCCACTAAGGGGCGAACAATTGCGACTGTTCACGCCAGAGTTTGTCAGGGCTCGTTCAAGGTCGCAAATGCTCCGCAGACGCTCGCCAACAATCTTCGTCTTTTTTTTTTTTTTTTTTAAACACAGATGCTGCCAGATGTGTTGGATCAATTCCTGAAAATACCTTGATGCAAATGTTCATCTTTTCCCTCTTCAGAATTCTGGTCTACGGCAGCGTGGACACTGCGGCTCAGTGCCTGGTGACCCTCAGCAACCCCCGGGGCTGCCCCGTGCTGTGCCTGAAGCACTCGCCTTGCTTCCTCTTTGCTGGCTTGCGCGATGGCACCTTGATGGTTTACGGGAGGAAAAGTGGCGGTAAGCTCTCTTAGCGGCCCGCGCTAAATTGCTTTTCCAAATACAAAACGCTTATCGCTCGCTTTCTATTGCGTGTGAATTCCCGAATGATATTCAGCGGTCATGTAAAATACATTTCTATGACAGTAGGTGTCCCGTGTTAAAATCTTTCGTCGCGTTCGTTTGCATTCCATTTCGTCTGCTGTGATGACTAAACCACTAATAGAAGCCTGGTATCCATGGAGACTTGATTCCACTCAGAAGGACTGAAAGTGTGTTTTTGTTGATGCCGCCGTGTTATATTGTGATGGATTGATGAGTGTTATTCACCTCTTTTGCAAAGAAGAACTTTTGCTATATACTCAACAAATCAAAGCGGTCATGGAAGAGCCCACATCAGGCTGCATTTGCTTTTTACCAACAACCCAAAGTGGCGTGTTCAGTATAAAACAAGATCAATATCAGCACTAAAAAAGTCTAGATGACACCCAAACGAGTTGTAAATGCCGGGATTCTCCCACCCTAGTGTACACACACACACACACACACACACACACACACACACACACACACACACACACACACACACACACAGAGTAGGAGAGAGAGAGCGAGAGAGAGCGAGAGCAGCCCCAAAGCATGATGCCGCCACCACCGCGCCTCACTGTCGGCTCGCTGTTCTTTTGGTCATGAGCAGTGTTGCATCTGCACTAAACTTACCTTTTGGAATTATGGCCAAAAAGTTCAACCTTGGTTTTATGAGAGCATAACAAAATCTCTTGTGGGAAATGTATTACGGTCCGATGAAACAGCCGTCATCTATTTTATGCGATCAATCTTGGTGGCATTTATTACAAAGAGGTTTCCACCTTGCAGACTAGAAATGAACACAACTGCAGGAACAGCACACTGCCCCCCCCCCCCAAAAAAAAAGAATCCACGACAGCTTGTTTAATCATATCCCTGATGCAATGGCTCCTCTTGCCAGGTATTCAGGATAGCTGCCAACTTACACAAAACAAATAAACAGCACTACAAAAATTAATGCACAGTCAAAAATGTCAACGGCCCAGTCCATCAATTATATAATTGTCATAAATCTGCAAGACACTATTGCCAGATAGCTGACATCTTGCACAATTGAAATCAACAAAACCGATAGGAATAATCCATAATTTAGAAAAAAAAGCATTCACAACACACTTGGTGTAAAAAAAAAAAAAAAAATGAATACAATTGCTCCTCTCGCCAGTTATCCGTGATGCCACCTGGCGCAGCGGAAATTAACCAAAGAACTTCACCACCCGTATTTTGCAGAATCTCACACTCGTATGGAACCTGCCGTATTTGAGGCGCGTCTCACGAAATCACTGACGGCCCACCTTTGCTTTTGCATTGTCTTTGTCATTGCAGAAAGAACAGCTTGCGCCAAAAAACATGTCAGGTGCAGTGAGGCGTTACACCCTCCCAGTAGAGCCCCCCCGCCCTTCGTACCTGGATTCCATATCACATCAAACAGGCCTCTGCTGCCTCTCCAGCGAAAAAAAAAAAAAAGAAGGGAGGGGATGATTAATTAAACGGAGGAAGGAATATGAGTAGGTTGATGTATCAACAGGCAGGACAGACGACCGGGGAGGCTCCTGGCGCATCTGTTCAAGATTCATAGCCCCACTGTTGACTGGAAGGCTTGCGAGCTGCACTCCGGAGTTTGAGAGTCCACAGCACGCTGTTGCCAATTGTGTTGATTGCAACCACAAGTGATTTAAAAATAATCATATGTTTTTTTGAAGTGGCCAAAATGATGTCGACGTCACGTGGACAGTTTTTACAAAACTAAAAATGAGCAGCTGTAGTCATGAATGAATGAAACTTGAAGTAGGCTCGCTCGGCATTTGGCACAGCGGCTTTCACTTCTCCGAGTGGATTTTTTTTTTTTTTTTTTTTAAATAAAGATGGTGAAAGTGACCTTTTTTCATGGCAAGCAGTTAACCTGCTGGAGTCAAAAGGCCTTGAAAGGCTGAACTAAATGCATCCATTTTCTCATCCGCCGATTCTCACGAGCCTACCCGTGCCGACTTCGGGCCGTAGGCGGGGTACACACACCCTGAACTGGTTGCCAGCCAATCGGAGGGCACACATAGACAAACAACCATTCACACTCGCAATCACACTTTGAGTGTTCAATCAACCGACCGTGCATGTTTTTGGAATGTGGGAGGAAACCGGAATACCCGGAGAAAACCCGCACAGGCACGGGGAGAACGTGCAAACTCCACACAGGAAGGAATTGAACCCTGGACCTCTGCTAACCATTCAACCGCCGTGCTCCAAATGTTAGTTAAACGGCCGGTTGCGGCCCACTCTCTAATTCGACTTCATTAACGCGCAGCAAAGGAAACGCTGACGCCATTCCATTTATCATCAGGCGCCTCGTGGCAGCCGCTAAAGTGCGCCTGGTGATTAATCCCCGAAGGAGAAAAAAGGTCCACTTCCTTCACACTCTGGCCAAGCGAAACGGGAGAGAGGTGGCGGCCAAGTGGGAGATCAAAGTGAAAACGTTCACATTTTCCCCCCCCCGTGCTTTATTACACAATATTAAAAGGGCAGTGTGTCATTTCTTCACAAAATGCAGTTTAGCATGAAATCACCGGGCAGCGGGTCACAGATATGATGCTCAATACCTCGTTAACTTGCTAACTTAGATCCATTACATACACAAATTAAAATTAAAAAGCGTTCCTAATGAAAACAACATGAAGCTGAAATGATCCGCACTCTCCCTTTATTTGATCAGCGTCAAAAAGTGAAGACTACTTTCGATGTTATTTTCGATGTGCGGCCCAGGGATTCGTTTGACTCGTTAATTCACTGAACTTAACTCACTTATTCGCAGGGATGGGTACCGATTTTTGAATCATTTAGGCCACGTGAACGTTGTGTTATCTTCCTGTCCCGACGTCGCACACTCGTCTCGCTCGCTGCACACGTCAAGCAAAATGTCATTAAAAAGTTGAACAGCATCATAGTGATTTGTTCAAATTGTTTGTTTGAGTTTACATTAAAGTCATAGTTGCAAGACAAGTACATTAAAAAAAATCAGTAAATTTTAAAGTCTGTTTTGCATCGTAGTGTGTTACTTTTTTCAACTTTTTCAGTTGCTGCGTGTCACTTCCTTTTCTTTTGCTATTTGCGGCAAGGCTCGATCGCTGGTGTGGACTGTAAAGTTTGAACGACTTTGAAATGTTTTTTTGACTGTGCGAACAACTTAGACGTCAACATCATTGATAGTGTTTGATTCCCGTGTAGGTTCTACCCTATTCCTAAATGTAGTATTTATCGATTGCATATATTTTATTATTTCCCAGAGGATCTCTGGGATCCCGATTCCAGCAGAAGCGTGAACTTGGGTTCAGATCCAGTGCGGACCCTCTTGGTGCTGGACGACTCGGTGTGGGCGAGCTGCAGGAACTTGGTCATGGTGGTTGACATCTGCAGCCTCAACACTCAGGTAATGAAGTCGCTGTCGGGCGCATCACTTTTATTTTATTCCTGGAAAAATCGTGACACGATGTGAGTGTTTGTGGTATGCTTTGAATTATTCGTATCTTTCTGGGGCTGCTTTGCTCCATCTGAAACTAACTGGGTGTTTTAAATCTGTGCGGGGTCCTAAACATTCTGTTTTGGGAAAGTCACATGAGCTCTAATCTGTATATATTTTGACGCAAAAATGAGGCATTCGAAGAAAAGAATATTCTGGGAAACATGGAGGCGTCTTCGTCGTGTTCCGGGGCTGCTTTGCTACATCCAGCACCGGTTGTTTTGAATTTGCGCTGGGTGCAAAGAAATCTCGACACTGTGGAGACTTTTTGGAGTGAATCGCGCTTTTATCATGGGTCCTCTAAGAGGGTAATGACCCAAAATGCATGTCCAAAGAATGGCCTGAATGGAGGTTGGTTAGCGATGACTCCTTCCTCTGAGGTGAGAACTTAATGAGCCGAGGTGACCACTCTCCTCTGCCGCAGAGCTTAACGGGTCAACGCCTGGTTACTTTTGAACTAACCTCGTCTTCCTCACTAATACGCTCTCGCGAGGGCTGACTTGACACGGTGCCGGCAAGCAGAAGTTGCGGTCAAATGGATCATTGGACGGGCCTCAGAGGCTCGCCAGCGCGTATCATCTTTATTTTTCTTTTCACCTCCACACACGGACATAGCACGTCGACATCAATTTTGCCGGGCGCCAACACTTGTCTCGTTTGACGCCGCTTATCCACGAAGCCTCCGAAGGGATCGGCGGCAACGTGCGCTCGGCTTTGGGCATGCGGCAGGCGTACAAGTGGCTATACAATCAAGTAAATTGCTGACAAAGCCGCACACCAATCGAGCGAGGATTGCAAGGCATGAATAAATCATCAGCCATAAGGATGGAGATACCCCGTCATAAGCTCCGACAGCCTCGGGATGATTTTGAAAGTCATGGGGATTACGTGTCCTCTTGTTGTAATATACTTCACGCGGGTTGTGTAGTCCTAAATTTGCTGTCGACTGAAGTGAACCGACCGAAAAGCTTTGCTCAAATTTTCATCGACTTCTGTCCGTTTCCTGTCATTCACGTTAACATGGATAAAAGCGTCATTGGATTGTGTTTATCATCTCAAAGTGACGGCAGGAATGGCCTCGCGTTGCTTTTTGCTCCACACGGAACCCCATTTATGATCCATTTACATGTATGTCGTAATTGAGAATAATTTCAGTGAAATTATGCTCAAAATAAAACAGAATCATTCATATCGTAATTGGGTTTTTTTTTGTTGGTTTTTTTAGTTTGTGTGCAAAGTGCACTTAAACAAGCCGAAGTTCGCTACGGCTGCTACATTGGGAACATAATTGAGTTGTTATGGTGTCTTACCGCACCACCAAATGTCATCGCTTTAAAGTTTTATTTTTTAGTTACGTATAAACAATTAAAAATTAATAAGCGGTGATAAACCTGCTCATCAAGAAGTAATATTGCTGATTCCAGGTCACTTCTGACTCCTCCCACCTGCTTCTGTTTGCTGCTCTTATGCCCTGTTGTTGACAAATTAATGGGTGGGAAACAGGAGGTGGATATTCCAACATAGTATGAGCAAAGCTGCTAAAGGCCAAGGTAAAAGTTATGTGTGAGATTGTGGGGGTGTTCGTTTGAGGGTGACATTTGAGTGATTTTTCTGCAAACTCATTGAACTGATGGCAGTACTCTTAGAACTGCTTTTATTGGACTTTTCAAGTCATGTTTGTGTCAAATGTCATCAGAACAGGTTGATGGTTGTTTTGTGGGATGAGTAGAGAGAAGAATTTCTGGACCGACATTGGATTGACGACAAATCTCGAGTGTGTCCCCACCTGGGGTTGGGCTCTTTGCTATCACAATCCTCCATTCATTCATTCCGATGGGTCAACCTTCGCACAGTCTGCACATTCTGCGTCTTTTGTGAAACAGGGACACATTTTGGCGCAAGAGTCCTTGAAAACCCCCTTTTTTTTTCTAAACCTGCCAAGACTCTCAGCCAAGCGAGTGATTCTCACCTTTGAGCTACACAAACACGGGCGGTCATGCAGGTCTTTGGCTACGTTGTCGTCAGAAAACGCTAACAAAGCAGAACGTCTGTGGACGATCCGACTGATCAATAATGACTGCCAGACCTTGTTCCTTCCTCTTCCCATTACTTGACTCAAGCCACAGCGCAGGACACCTCGTCGTCCGGCGCGACGGAGGACTAATGAGCCGTTCAGACCCGTTGCGGCCGCTGTTTTTTGGAGGAGCAGTTGCTGACGTCGGAAGTGTGACGCATCGCCGTCGTCGTTCTTGACCGACCACGTCATCGCTGTAAAGCGGGCGTATCACTTCACGTCTGACACGCTGCGCATCTATCGAAAGCCGTCACACTGGTCGGCACATTCGAGTGGAGGTGAACTGCTGTCAATCGCACAACTGGCTGGAGTTCTGTTACCAGGCAACGGAGACAATGCACAAGCTTTTGTCCCTCTGACAAAATCTTTCACTCGAAGTGCTGAAGTATTTTTCGGTGGCTGCGCTGCGACTTTTCCGCGTATTGACGCAGTCTATGTTGCTTTTTGTTATTACAGTCCAGAGACTTTTGCCTTATCCGCATCATTCCAAATGAGCACTTTGTTGTTCTGCCATCGACACGACAGGAATGTTGCTTGCAACTTAGTATGACAATGGAGTTGTATTTCATTTGTTAATGTTCTCACCTCAGAATTTTGGAGAAACATCTCTTTGAAAATCCAGCGCCTCGCCGTGCCGTTTCAAATTGGAACTCTTCATCGCAGCAAGCACATGGCTTTTCATGCTGGTTGGAGGGAGAATGGAGGCCAACTTTTCAGTCCGTTCCTTCATTAAATTGCTCATTTTCGCTGTCCACTTTGCTTCTAGCGGTGAACTGGGAGCACGGCATTTTGGTAGACTCTATCCTCCTACTGCTGGCAAAGTGTCAACAGTAGGCGCAGTTTGCACACTGCTCCAAAACCAAAAAGTCAAAATCCAAACCTGCCCCGGGGCCGTAACAGGTTGTTTGTGTGTTGCTGGCATGCAGACAAGCCCTGGCCTAATCCAAACAAGGACAACACGTGCTTTTCATGCTTGCCGACCACCTCGGCGCTTGGCAAAGTGCGGCCTTCGCAGTTTGGGGGCCACAAATAAAGTCCTGAAGGCCACTGCTTGAGTCTTTGAAGACACCTTGCCCGAAATCAACCTAAAATGGCAGACTTACCGTATTTTCCACACTTAAAGGCACACTGGATTATGAGGCGCACCTTCAATGAATGGCCTGTTTTGTAATTTTTTTTGTTTCATACAATAGGTGCACCGCATTAGAAGACGCAATCTACAATGCATCCACTAGATGGAGCTACGCTCAAGGAAATGCCAACGGAACGATCAGATGTCAGTCAAACGTATTTAACAAAGCAGCGACACAGTTCACTTAACCAACGGCAAGTTAGAACATTGACTCGTTAAAGTTGAACTCTCTTGCCGCTGCTCTATTCCCGTGTTCAACCGCGTAACCCATCGCCTTAAGTTTGAACTCGGCGTTGTCAGCATGTCTTGAGCAAGGAGCCATTTTGGGGGTCGAAATATTACCGTAATGACCAGACACAAGACGCATCGGATCTGAAGGCGCGCTGTGAACTTTTAAGAAAACGGAAGGCTTTTAGGTGCGCCTTTTAGTGCGGAAAATTCAGTACATTTTTTCCAGGCATGGACTATTACTTCCTTTTTTTTTTTCTTTCACTTTTCATTTTCTGTATGTGGAACGGCCACGTGCCAATACTTAGAATACTTTATTATAATACTACCTCGTCCACCGAATGCATCTCGACTGCGAATTGCCTCATATTCAAACCACCGTCAGAAGTTTTCTTCATCTGCAAGACTCTTGTTGAGCGATCATCTCCTCGGTGCACATCAAGGTTTTTTTTTTTTTGCTTGCTCTTGAGCCGCCCACTGCTCAGGAGCCAATTAGAAAAGAAAACACATCAAAGCCGGCGTTTCAAACAAAGAAGCGCCCGCCGGCAAGGGCGCCCAAACAGGTGCTAATCCCTGTCGGCGCGGCGCACACGTGATGTCGGCGTTCTCATCTGGGCCGGCTCCTATTCACCCCCTTAATTGCGCGGCCTTCGTGCTGACAGCGATACGAGCCGTGAGATGACACCCCGCAGCGGGCCTTGTCATGCCGCCGACCGCAAGGCCTGCTTGTGTTGCCACGATAAGGATAATTGCGCTTGTTTTTGAGCCGCTCATTAAACATGAGCGCCCCGAGACTGCGCGCCGGAGGAGACGGGAAAGTGACGCAAAAACATGCCACCGGCGTCGGATGCGCGCTAAACTCCAGAATGGGGAAGCAAATATCAGTCGCGCACTCGCTGTGAATGTCATCGTGGACAAAAAAACCTGTAATGGAGTGCGCGCCTTTTTTTTCAACTTTTTGGGTCATTTGGGGCATTTCAAGGTGTCCTTCAAAGACAAGCCTGTCTTAGATGGGGTTTTTTTGGGAGTTTATTTTCATCCAGCAACATGAAATTTGGTAGGTATGGTTATCATGAGTAGACCCACAAAAAAAAAAAAAAACACTCTCGAGAAGCCATGCCTGAAAAGACACAGGAAGTCTTCAATTTGGTTTTCAAGCGGCCACTTTGTGCATTTCCAAGTGCCTTGTACTGACTCGTCTTCAAAACGTTTTCTGCTTGCTCCTGAGTGACCCAGATTGGGGTGCGCGGGCATATTCGTCCTCTAAAAAAAAAAAAACATAGCAGCACAAAATTGCTTCCATCCTTCCATCCATTTTCTGTATTTCACTTTTCATTCCATTTGATTGGCCCTCATGAGACCGGCGCGGGCGTACCGACCGAATACACGGCCAACGTGCGCGTCTTTCTGCAACGGCTGTTTTTGTGTGTTACAGACACTGGAGGCTCACCCCGACCCAGCGGTTAGCGTGGCACATGTGGCGCGCGCCGGCGGCGGCGTGTGGATGGCCTTCTCGGAGGGCTCGTCCATCCGTCTCTTTCACACCGAGACGCTGGAGCTGCTGCAGGAGATCAACATCTCCACGCGCTCCACGCTGCTCAACACCGGTAAAGAGCCGCGCCGTTTCACTCCCCTCGCCGCCTTGAAAAAAAAATACTCCCTTATTTTACGAGGCGTCTTGGAAAAGCCCGAAAAAAAGCCAGGAGAACAAGTTCAACGAGCAAAACGCGTCTCTCGTGACCAGCGCACAATCTGTTTAATAACCAGCACTTCGATGTGTTTTATTTCAATGTTTTGGTCACGTTGTTCGATCAAAATTGACATGCCACCATATTGCATCTCTGTGAAGCTTTGATGGTTTCTATTGATGGATTAAGTCAGGTACGTCCCCACTGAAGGTCCGGGTACCAAATGCAGGCCCGCGAGACATTGGCGTTGCCCCCCCTGCCCTCCCCCTTCTTCACACACAATGATATTCTCATCTCGATCAAGTTGCCCCCTGCTGCTCCTGCACGTGGGGGAGCGACATGAATAAGTAAGCACCCGCGACACGGCGCAGCCACGGGGGTGAAAGCTGGAGGATTAATATGAATGAAAGAGTCGCCTGAGAGCCGCCGAAAGAAGGGCCGTCTTGGGGGAAGGGGGGCTTCGGTGCAAATACCTGACGAGAATATCCACGCCTACCGTGCGCTACTGCTTACGTTTCCAAACACGCGCCTCCTTTGAGTTAATGCGACGCTCTGTGTTTGTCCTACTTTTTTCCCGTCGGCTCGTTTCATCTCGTCCGCTCGGCTGTAAATCCTCTCGGCAACCCCGCTCCCGCTCGCCCTCCCCCGCTCCCACCCCTTTTCTTTGGCTGCGGTCCGTTTAAGATGCCACACGTAACCCGCCGCCGCGCCTTCTCTCGTTGTCAACCATGAAATATTGATGGCAAAGTTTTCCCTGTTGTTGCGGCACGAAGTGGCGGATAACAACAGCAGCAAACTTCAAGTCAGCTAATGACAACTGCCTAATATATGCGATATTTTATCAGAGAGCTTCTGGCTCCAAGAGACTTTTTTTGCGGGGTCTTGGCGTGTTACATTTACCCCCAAAATGTTGTCAATCTTGGTGACGCGTACAGCCAGGGCTGCTTTGCTGAAAAAATTTATTGGGGGCACCGTGAAGCCATTTTTTTAAAAAAAAAACCTCGCACAATAATCTCATGAAAGATTGAGGCCGTTGCCAGGCCTGATTTGTTTGCAAAGTTTCATGAGTTTTGGTGCATGTTTAGACCCTCCAAAGTAGTTTTGTTTTCTTGGTGAACAGCGCGTCGCCAATAGTAAGGATCCTAATAATTTTGACAAAAACAACAGGGCCCTCGCAGCGGTCGCTGCACGGGCCCTAATAAACATTGTCGCTTGTCTTGCAATCTTCCCAGCGACAAATGCAGGCATTATGCACGACGTCTCCATTTATAAGCGGGCCACGCTGGGAACTGCAGAAAATCATAGGTCTGATGTTCAGCCCTTTGTTGGCTGTCTGAAAGTGTGCGCTTAATAATACGGATCGAGTGCGCCATGATCTCGTTGAGCAGCATTTCACACGCAGACATCCGACAAACGCTCGCATGGCATGTGACGATGCACGCTTCCCATTTGAGCCCCAAACAAAAGTGAACTTTTACTTTTTTTTTTTTTTTTCCTTGGGCGGAGTTCGAGGATATAAAACAAAGTACTTGATGGCTAATAGAATTCCGTGCTCGGTGTTCTGTAAAATGTGTTTAATGTTGCACTTTCCAGGTTTAAAAACTGCGAATAATTGGGGACGAGGGATTTAAGATGCTTGACGGCTGCATAGAAAATCGTTTTTTTTTTTTTGCTCCCTCTGCTCTTGCAAAAAAATTCCATTTGTTGGGATTATTGTTTTATTCTTATCTGTTGTGTCTAAATAATTGAAATGCCATTTATTGTGGAGGCAAGGTGCTCCAAAAGTCTCGAAACAGGAACAGTAGCGGCACTATTAGTAGTCGTGGCACGAGTAACACGAGTGGTAGTAATTGCAGGAGTGACAGAAGTACTTAGTCGTGCTGTGAACAGGTAGTAGTCGTCTTGGTTGTCATAGTTGTAGTACTTGTACTTGCATTCATAAGAGTGCTGACGCCATCTTGTAGCAGTAGTAGTAAAAGTACCCAACGGTATTAGTAGTATTTGCAGTAGTGATATTAGGTTGAGTAGCGGTCGTCGTTAGAGTACTGATATTATGCATTGATCATGAATTATTGTTCTATATTTGACATCGTGGCACCCCAATTTGGGCTTCCTCAATTGTGTGGCTTGAATCCAGTTTGAAATCACTTTTCCCGCACTATTTACACTGCCGCGACTGAATGTGAAAATACAAAGCAGAGCAAGGAGCTGCACCGCTGCCATTGTTTTTGATCTTTCCTCTCCTGGTTTTGATGTTTCAGGTCAGGCGACCATGCGAGTCACCAGCCTGCTCATCTGTCAAGGGCTCTTGTGGGTCGGCACCGCCCAAGGCCTCATTGTCACCCTGCCGGTTCCCAAACTGGAAGGAATACCCAAAATAACAGGTCAGGTCCAAATGACTGCTCGTTCGCAGAATGAACGGCGCAGTTGCCGATAAAACGGATCATTTGTAAAATAACAAATCATTCAGACAAAAATGGCCTTCCCCGAACAACACATTCTGGCCCACGTAACAGGACATTCCCCCAAGTAGTCCAATAAACAAACAAAAAAAAAATCCCACGACAACAGATCATTTTTAC